TTTAAAAGGAAAAAAAATCCTCTGGGTACAGCACATTTGGCATTTAGTAGCTCTAAAAAATAAATTTCAGAAAAGGCAACAGTTGGTCAGGAGGTTAAGCCAGACAAATACTGGACCTGCTGGGCATAGCTAGTTCTTTTTTCATCCCAGTTAAGGAATGTGAAATGCAACACACAAAAGCTGGGCTGCACCAAATTCAAAGTCTTATTTCCTAACTATCTTAACTATACCTCTGTGCTTAAACTGCCCCAACTTCATGGCTTAATACACAACCATCTTCTTTGCTCACAATTTTGAGGACCAGCAGTTTGGTCTGTGTTCAGCTGTGTGGTTCTTATCTGGTCTTGCCTGGGTCACTCTGACAATTGCAGCCATCAGGCATGCCTGGTCTAGGATGGCCTCACTCACAGGTCTGGGGCTGGTGCCAGTGGTAGGTGGGGCCTCTCTCTCCACATGGTCTCTCATCTTCATGGACTAGCCCAGGCTTTTCCACTTGACGGTCCCAAGGTTCCAAGAGAGGGAGAACTCTCATGAAGTTGCTTTCTCAGCATTCTACCAAGCAAAGTACAAGGCAAGCCTAAATTCAAGGAGGGGAAAAATAGTCCTCATCTCTTGATGGGAAGAGATACAAAGGCACACTTCACAGTAGTGTGCATACAGGGGAAGAATGTGTGGCTATTTTTTTTCCCAATCTGCTACACTAATAATAGCTCAAAATTCAGCAACAATACAGAAAAAGATTGATCAATTTGATTACAATAAAAACTAAAAATCTCTTATACTACAAAAATATTATAAGTGAATTAAGAAGATGAATGACAAACTTGGAGAAATATAACTTACAGACAAAAGTTTACTATCTCGGGACTTCCCTTGTGGCACAGTGGTTAAGAATCCGCCTGCCAATGCAGGGGACACGGGTTCGAGCCGTGGTCCGGGAAGATCCCACATGCCGCGGAGCAACTAAGCCCGTGTGCCACAACTTCTGAGCCTGCGCTCTAGAGCCAGCGAGCCACAACTACTGAGCCCGCGTGCCACAACTACTGAAGCCCGTGTGCCTAGAGTCCGTGCTCCGCAGCAAGAGAAGCCACCGCAATGAGAAACCCGCGCACCACAATGAAGAGTAGCCCCTGCTCGCCTCAACTAGAGAAAGCCCGTGTGCAACAACGAAGACCCAACGCAGCCAAAAATAAATTAAAAAAAAAAAAGCTTACTATCTCTATTATATAAAGAGCTTCTAAAAAACAGAAAAGGAAAGGATTGACAACACTGTAGAAAATATACTAGAGATATGAACAGATAGTTTGCATAAAAAAAAATGTACATGGCCCTTAAACAACTGAAAAACTGTCCAACCTCACTCTTAATAAAGGAAATGTAAATTAAGAGTACATCGAGATATCATTTTTTTATCTATCACATTGGACAATATACTCTCACAGGAAACAGGTACCCACATATATTGCTGTTTTGGGAATGCAAAATGGCATGACTCTGTCTACTTAAAGGCCTAGATACAGTGACCAACCCAGTAGCAATCAACATCCCTTAATCACCCAGATTATAGTTTAACTCCTTAAATCCTTAAATACTACAGTCACATTAAAAAGCAGCAGGACTCCTAAAAGAAATAGCTGATTCCAGGTTTGGGGTCGGATATTTACATCTTATCATACCAGAAAGCAAGGAAGCTACCCGAGACTACTAGGTTTGAGACAGACAGACTCAGCAAGCACACTTGAAGACTCTCCCATTTGTCAATGATGGGAAATTTGAGCATTAATAAGGATAATACCCGCAATTGATTAAATCATATCATTTATGTTTAAATCGCTGAGTTCATAATGATACTAAAAAATAATGTATTGGTCACTTATGGAGCATAGGCTAGGGAGCCATCACATCGTTTTGAAACCTGGAAATAAAAAGAGAGATCCAAGTATTTACTCTATCTTTCCTATATGATAGGAAAGATAAACAGTTGGTGAAAGCATTTCCCCTTTATAGAACCAGTCCTGCTAATAAATCATGATAAAATTACATAGCACCATTTTACAACTCCTAGCGAAATAATGGATCGATGACTTCCAACATCACAAAGAGAAAAACAATTAGTCATTGTGGGTCCCGATGGAAGTGTGAAGACCACCTATGATGTATTCCTGTCCAAACAATAGGCCTAAATCTGATCGAACCTGTAGAGCTAAATGACAACTTATAGGCAGTACAAGGGAGAGGAACATGTTAAAACAAAACCAAAAAATACATGTGGTGGCAATAAGCAAAACCCAGACTGAAAAAAAGCTACAGCTCAAATGACCCAGTTTATTAAAAAAAATAAATTGCAAGGAGAAACAAAAGGGAGATGAAAGGGAACCTATAGAAAAATAGACTTAAGGACAGACATATACATACAGGCATTAGTAGTAGTGGAAGATTAAGCGGGTGGGACCACAAATACAAGATTTGCCAAGAGTTGATAATTGGTAAATCTGGGTGAGGGCACACGAAGACTCCTTACTCTGTTCTCTCTGCGTTTGTATGAAATTTTCCACAATATAACATTAAAAAGATATATATATATATATATATATATATATTTGTTTTTTTTAAGATGAGGAAGTTTGTGTTTTTGAATGACTTTGAGTGGACATTAACAATGTGGCTGAATAAAACAGCTAGAACTATGGTGATTCATCCTGTGATCATGAGGAAAGCCTACCAAGGATTAAAGCCAAAACATTCCTGATAGTATTGGGTTGGCCAAAAAGTTCGTTCGGTTAATGACCATGTTGTTCAGTAAAGTTCTTGGTGACAATGAAAAATGTGTCTTTTACTTAAAACCGAAGGAACTTTTGGGCCAACCCAATAGAACAGAATAATAGAAATAACCTGGTCCTTAACAACTGAGCCACAGAATAAACCAACCTGGCAGCTGCCTGACCTCTGGATAGCTGGCTAGATAGTAAGTATCTCTGTTGTTTAATCTCTTTTGAGTTGGTTTCTGTTATTTGCAGCAGAAAGCATCCTAACTAAAACAGTGGAGAAGAAAGCATTTTTGTGTGTGTGTTGAGGTCGTAGTGTTTCTGCTCTATCTTACAGAACGTTTAGTGAAACAGCATCCCTTAATTGCAATGATTAAGTCCTTGCAGTTATTATTTCTTGCTAGCTCTCAAATTCCAGAGGGATTAAACCAGCCAGCATATCATCTTGCACCTATATCCTACCCTAGTTTACCATGGGTGAAAATCTTAGCAACCGCACTGCTACAGAAGGCCAGGGAATGGCAGTCCTCCACCTACCACCAGTGATGGGGTCCTCATCGCCATCCAGCTGGAGAGTGATACAATTCCAGAACCCTATTCTTAGGGTCTGCTTCCTGGGACCACATCCAGTACAATTATCTTAGGTGGAGTTCCGAGAAACAGAGCTTGAAACAGGAATTTGGAGGCAGGTGATTTATTAAAGGAGTGCTCCCAGGGGAATAGGAAGGAGGCAAGCGGGATAGAACAGGGGGAGAAAGCTAAGCAAGGATGTAATCTCAGCTGGAAACCAGCTTCGACTGGGAAGCTCTGCGTTGTCCCTCAGCGAAGGCTCCACCTTTTGTACCACCACAGTAGTCAGTCATCAACTGTGAGCTGCCTGGGGTGAGGTTGGGGGCGGGGTGTGTGTGTGACACTCAGAGCAGCTAGCATTAAATGTACTGGCCCGGTTAAAGGGATCTAGTCAGAGCATCAGTAGCATCCACTACCACCTCCCAACTTACCTAAGCAGCCAAAATCTTACTAGACCCTGCGTGATCTAGCCCACCCTTGCATAACCATTCTTTCTCTCTGAAATCGTCTCCACCGCTCTCCCTCTTTTTCATTCCACTTTAGCCACACACTGGCCACCTTGCAATTCGTCAAATTCTCTAGCATATTCATGCTTCAGATCCTTTACCCTTCTCAGTCCCCTCATCCGGGATGATTTTCCGCTGCTCTCCCACCAGCCCCGCCCTGCCATGTCCTCATGACTAGGTCCCTTATACATCCTTCACATTTATACTCACAATACAGCTTCTTAGTAAGGTCTTGTGACCTACTGGGCACTACTTGTGACCTTGCTGCCCTAGCCAACACTTATAATCCCTTTACTTTCATTATTTTTCTTTTCAAATACTTATCAGTATCTAACATACTATATAGTTGTCTTGTTTATTATTTGTATTTGTTTAGAGTATTTATATATACCCTAGAACATGAGCTGGGAAGGGTAGGAATTTTTATCTTTTTTTTTTTTTAATCTTAACACTTAAAACTGTGCCTGGCAAATTACAGGTGCTCAGTTAATATTTGTTGGCTATGAGAATGAATGAATGAATGACAACTGGCACAAAGTGCCAGGATAAATGCTGCTTGAAGAGAACTAAACTGAAATGGAAAATACTGCCACAGCCTGCCGTGTAATATAGATGGGAGAACGGATACATATATTGCCATATGCAGAGTTCTCCCTAGATTATGTTTTCTTTGATAACATTGCAATGTTCATGTGATGTTATATGTGTGTATATTAGTATATACTATTTATACATATAAATATTAGTGAATAAAAATAGAAGCACTAAAGATTTTCCAAATTTATTTAAATGAGTTCAAATCAAAACTCAAGAATCTAGATTTACACACATTAAAGAAAGGTAAAATTATAGAAAAATTAAAGTGAATGCAGGTTGTATAGATAGCTCAATTCCTATGATATAAAAATTTAAATCCACAGGTGAAACTCTTTAAGCTCTTTACATGTCATATTCTGATCCCAGAGAGTAGAAAACTATGAAGCATGCAAAATCTCAAATCTCTCGATCCTGAAATCTATCAGTAGATACCCCAAATCCTCAAGGCACATTAACATTTTCTAGAAAAGAAGCCTTTTTAAAATCTAAGGTTACTGAAACTACAAAAACACCTATCAGACCCTCTGTGGCATTTTTTGCCCACGTGTCCATCAGCATGAGATTAGCCTTGGGCTGAGGCGGCCTCAGAACGAACACTGGCTTCTTCCTGTAAATCAGCCCCAGCAGAGGATTCTGACTCAACTGGAGAATTTTCTTCTAGTTCAGCATATTCACCACAGCTTTCGTTCTCAGTTGTACCTTTATCACTATTGATGGCAACAGCTTCATCCCGAACTGCGCTGGTAACCTCTGACGTGGTTTCAGTGCTGACCTCTGTGGTTTCTCCCGTCCCCACATCTGTCACCTCTGACCCAGTTTCAGCACCAGCGGCAGTGGTCTCCTCGGCAGCAGCCTCCGCATTGTCTGGACAGGGGGAAGCCTCTTTTATGACTGCAACTGTAGCACTGGGAAGCTCTGCAGCATCCACCACCGGAGCTTCCACTAAAGGTACTTCGGGGGCTTCTGAACTGGCTTCCTCGGCACCCACAAGGTTCTCTTTTTCACCTTTAAAATTTAGTCCATTAAGCAAAGTATTAATTTAAAGAGCATGGGAAGACGGTGAGACACTGTGCAGTCATTTTAAAAAATGAGACAGATCAATAAGTACTGATATGACATGGTCTTCAAGGTAGTCTCTTCAGTGAAAAAAAAGCAAAGAAAAGAGCAATGTATACAGTATATGGTACTATTTGTGTTAGGACAAAAGGAGGGTAATATAGACCTAGAGTTATATTTGTAGAGACCCTCTCCTGGAGGACACAAAGAAACTGGTGTTATTGGTTGCCTCTGGGGAGGTAAAATGAAGGGTCTGCTCTTCTGAAAACCCTTTTGAATCTGCTGAACTTAAGAAAATAATAATTTCATGTGATTATTTATTTTAAATACAAACCATGAAAATAAACAGGCAATGTGTCATGTGAAATAGCATGGAAAAGTAGCTAACTTACTAGCTGAAGACTCTGAAAAGCCACTAGTCCTCCCTCAACCTCAGTTTTGTCATCTGTAAAATGGGGATATTAATAATATCTACCTCACGGAACTATTGGGAGGATTGACTACAATAATATTATGAAGAGGGGTTTAAAACCAAGGAAGTGCTATGGAAATGCTGTATTTTATCATTATTACAATCAGCCATCTCATGATTATATTCAATAATGTTTACTAATGATATTCTGTTTCTTATTGTTCTCATGACTAAAAGGTTAAAACTGGTCCATGAGCAGCTGTTTTCTTTGTCCCTAAATAGTGATCATGGTATTTGATAATAATGGCCTTATAGTTGAGATGGAAAAAAGTATGGTTTAAAGCAAGCAGTTTAGGCAAGAAATATACATTTAGGGTGAAAATCTCAAATTTCTGTTCTTACAAGTTGCCATTTTATCAGTCAGATCAACTGAGGGACTCAGTAGACATGACTGAATCTACTAATGTCACTGCACACAGGTGGTCTTAGCCAAAACTGAAACAAAATTAGTTTCATGACTTAAAAAAATTAATAAGAGAAATGAAAGGTCAAGCTGCTGAGAGAGACACATACTAAAATTATGCCTGCATGAATGGAAACCTGAGTAGGGCAAAAGTAATATTACCACACAAAGAAGTCAAAGCTGCTGGTCAGCAGATTAAATGTACAATGTTTTCATTTACCAAATGCCCTCATCCAAAACCTCTAACAATATTCTTTAGGCTTTGGTTGGACTTTTCCTTTCTGAGTGAACTTGTACCCAGAGTCATTTTGGATTAAGTTAGTAAAGAAGCCAAAAACAAATACTGTCCATTGCTAGACTAAGATAATGAAAATCAGTGCCTCAAGGAAAAAGAAAAGAGTAAATTCACTTTACCTGGAAGTGGATGTAACTCTGCTTTGTTTTTTTCTTTCAAATTCGTTATATGATCGCTGTGTTTGGCTTTCGCTGATGTGATTCTCTTGTAAGTCTGAAAGTAAGTGTGTGCTTAAGTTTATTTCTTGAGCTCTAAGATTCATCATGCCAAGTTTAAAGCTATCTACAGTTCAAACAGGAGAAACCAATACACACCATCTACTCTTTTATTTCCCGTCTGGAAATATTTGTCAATAAGTAGAATGCTTTAAAAAAGGAAAGAAACGAATGTTCTAACAGAGGTCAAAGATAACTGAAAACACACAAGGTGGATAGATAAAGACTAAGAAGAAAAAAAAATTATGCTAGAATCAAAATATTCTGACAGGCATTTGCAAATATCCTCTGGCATTTATCTCAGAGTAATGGAAATTTATATGCACACAAAAACCTGTACACAAATGTTCATGGTAGCTTTATTTGTGATAGCCCAAAACTGGAACCAGTCCAGACGTCCTACAACCGGTGAATGGTTACACAGACTGTGGTACGTCCATGACATAGGACACTACTCAGCCATAAAAGGGATGAACTATAGATACAGGAAAACAATTTGGATGAATCTCCAGGTAAATTATGCTGAGTGAAAAAAGCCAGTCTCAAAAGGTTGCACACCTTAGGATTCCATTTATGTAACATTACTATTATTATTATTAATTATTTTTGGTAACATTCTTGAAATGACAAAAAAATACAGAAATAGAGAACAGATTAGTAATTGTCAGGAGGAAGGGAGGGGGAGGGCAGGCGGGAAGTGAGTACAATTACAAAAGAACAACACATGGGACCCTTGTGGTGATGGGACAGTCTTGTCTCTTGACTGTGGTGGTGAATACACGAATCTACACATGTGATAAAACTGCTTAGGACTAAATACATGCACTTGAGCGTGCACACACACACACACACACACACGCACAAGTGCATGTAAAGCTGGTGAAATCTGAGTAAGGTCTATGGACCGTATCCATGTCAGATTCCTGGCTGTGATATTGTTTTATAGTTAGCAAAGATGTTGTCACTGGGGGAAATGAGGCAAAAGGTATATGAGCTCTCTCTGTATTAGTTCTTATAACTGCAGGTGAAACTCAATTCTCCCGCAATGAAAAGTTTTCCAAAAGTCTTCCAAAATGACCCATTTGTAGACCCCAATGAAGATTCCTTAAGTCAGCTAGGTTTAGTCATTAAAAGCAGTAATATGACTGGCCCACAGGTTACCTGAGAAACAAAATTGGTAATAAAGCTATCTTAATCTTAGATACAACGTGCAGGCCTCCTTTCATTTCAAAATCAAGTAGTAATCTCTGGCCTGTATTCATATTAGACAATGATATTTTAAAAATGAAAATCTCGGGCTTCCCTGGTGGCACAGTGGTTGAGAGTCCGCCTGCCGATGCAGGGGACATGGGTTCGTGCCCCGGTCTGGGAAGATCCCACATGCCGCGGAGCGGCTGGGCCCGTGAGCCATGGCCGCTGGGGCTGTGCCTCCGGAGCCTGTGCTCCGCAACGGGAGAGGCCACGACAGTGAGAGGCCCGCGTACCGCAAAAAAAAAAAAAAAAAACACAACAACTGCATAATCTTAGAGGTGGAAAGGGACTTAGAGATCATCACCTTGTCCAATTTCCACTCCCACTGTGAGAGAACAAGGCCAGAAAGAGCTCTCAGGTGTAGCCAGTTTCTAACCAGCCAGTTAAGATTGCTTTTGCAAAGGAGGATTTAGTGGACTGCAGAGGTTCATGTCCGGCACTGGTAAACATGATTAGGGGTGTAGTGATGTCCAGATGAAATTCAGTCTTCCAGCTTCCCACATAATCACGTGGCCTAGTTTAATCTGTTTTCCAGTGGCCTATATCCAACTATAGTAGCCCTGGGCAGTGAATTCAATATTAAGCAGTAGAAAGATGGTAAAAGCAAATGAATCTGGGTATGAGTGAAAGCGGGTAGATTAGTGGAAGACAATAATATAAGTGACATGTTTGAATTTTCCTGGCTTCTTGAGGCTTTCACATTTCTGAAGAGTAGAATATGCATTTTGGTTTCATTACCTACATAGTCCTATAAACTGCTCCTAGGTAGGACTAAAAATCTCTTTATGCATATTTCTGTAAGGTCAAACCGAAATGTAGTGATTGTGTAGTCTTATGGTCCCTGAAGAATATATACTTATTCAACTTTTATTCATAATAAAGATTAGATTTCAGTTTAGAAAGTTTATGGCAAAATGAGGAATGATTCAAATCAATAGGATTATTTATTTATTTATTTGTTTTTGGCCACACAGTGCAGCTTACGGGATTTTAGTTCCCCAACCAGGGATTGCACTGGGCCCACAGCAGTGAAAGCACTGAGTCCCAACCCCTGGACTTCCAGGGAATTCCTAGAATTATCTTATTAACTCACAAATGTTTCTTTTTTTTAGCTCCAAAATCATACTATCAAAAGCTTTGTTTTACGGTGATTACTTGTGGGGGGTGGATAAGGAAGACCAGGTAGGAGAACATTCTTTTGATTTTATGTATGTCTATATTGAATTAAAAAAATATAGATAGATAAATATTACTTAAAAAAAATAGAAGTAAAGGGGCTTCCCTGGTGGCGCAGTGGTTGAGAGTCCGCCTGCCGATGCAGGGGACGCGGGTTCGTGCCCCGGTCTGGGAGGATCCCACATGCCGCGGAGCAGCTGGGCCCGTGAGCCATGGCCGCTGAGCCTGCGCGTCCGGAGCCTGTGCTCCGCGACGGGAGAGGCCACGGCGGTGGGAGGGCTGCGTACCGCAAAAAAAAAAAAAAAAAAAAGAAGTAAAGATGTAAAGCTAATAAAAAACTATGGAGACAGTAAAAAGACTAGGGGGAGAGAGGGAAGAATGAATGGTTGGAGCACAGGGGATTTTTAGGGCAATGAAACTATTCTGTGTGCTACTGTAATGGTGGATACATGTCAGTATATATTTGTTAAAACCCATATAATGTACAACACAGAGTGAACCCTCATGTAAACTACAGCCTTTAGTTAATAATGTATCAGTGTTGACCCATCAGTTGTAACAAATGTATCTCACTAAAGCAAGGTTGTTGATTTGGGAAAGGGGGGCAGAGAGGTAAGAGGAAGTATATGGTAATTCTCTGTACTTTCTGCTTATTTTTCTGTAAACCTAAAACTGCTCCAGAAAATAAAGTCTATTAATTTTTTTTTGGCCGTGCTGTGCAGCATGGGGAATCTCTGCTCCCTGACCAGGGATGGAACTCGCACCCCCTGCAGTAGAAGCGTGGAGTCTTAACCACTGGACCACCAGGGAAGTCCCGTAAAGTCTATTAATTTTTAAAACGTTTCTCTCTCAAAACAGTCCTTGTCAAATGTTAATAATAGTACCTACCTTAAAGAATTGTTGTAATAATTAAATGAGCCATGAGTCTGTCATGTGGTAAACACTCGAATGTCAGCCATTAGTACTGTTAGTATTTATAATAACATTGTTTTTAATGAAAGTCATCCATAGTTAGTGGTATTAAGTATTTTATACTTAAAAATTTTTTTCATAATCTTGTATATTTAATTAATCCCATGTCTTGATCTTGACACTGCTTTGAGTTTTACCACAGGTTGTAAAATATATGAATTCCTGAGCACCAAGGTTATTAAAACACTTACATAATATCCACCAGCACTGACTGTGACACCTACAACCAGATAATAGATCATATTTGATCCAGATGATCCAGGGAATTTGTTAGATGACATCCAGCGAAGAGATGCTAGGAAAACAAGTTTAAACACAGTTAGCTCCACCACAGGCAAAACTATTTTAAATGATTACATCCAAAAAAATTTTTTACCCCTCAGTGAACCTAGAATCTATTAACATCAACTGATTTTAGCTTAAAGGAATACAGTATTACATGGTAGGGTAATAATTCCACTTGACATTTTCTTAATCTAATTTGATAATTACTTATGAAACCTGCCACCCTGATGCTTCGCATCATGCTTTACTTGGAAGGAATGCAGACGTGGGTAAGGAGAAATGACAAAGCATTAAACAATTTTAACAGTCAAACGAGATGCATGTGAGCAAAAGAAATCCATTTATTGTATATTCTACACCACAGGATTCAATAGAAAAGATTATTTTTACAAAAAATTAATTAAATACATTTGTGCTTAAAGTTTATATGTTAAATAAAACATTTATGTTGAAATCCAACACATTTCTATAAATCTATAATACAAATGTAGACATAGAAAGAAACTTTAATTCTTCTAATGTAAAACCTTTAAAGACGGACAGATAGAAGCTTTTGAAAAACTTTTTTATTTATTTTTTAACATCTTTATTGGAGTATAATTGCTTTACAATGGTGTGTTAGTTTCTGCTTTATAACAAAGTGAATCAGCTATACATATACATATATCCCCATATCTCCTCCCTCTTGTGTCTTCCTCCCACCCTCCCTTTCCCACCCCTCTAGGTGGTCACAAAGCACCGAGCTGATCTCCCTGTGCTATGTGGCTGCTTCCCACTAGCTATCTATTTTACACTTAGTAGTGTATATAAGTCCATGCCACTCTCTCACTTCATCCCAGCTTACCCTTCCCCCTCCCCATGTCCTCAAGTCCATTCTCTACATCTGCGTCTTTATTCCTGTCCTACCCCTAGGTCCTTCAGAACCTTTTTTTTTTTTAAGATTCCATATATATGTGTTAGCATACGGTATTTGTTTTTCTCTTTCTGACTTACTTCACTCTGTATGACAGTCTCCAGGTCCATCCACCTCACTACAAATAACTCAATTTTGTTTCTTTTTACGGCTGAGTAATATTCCATTGTATATATGTGCCACATCTTCTTTATCTGTTCATCTGTCGATGGACACTTAGGTTGCTTCCATGTCCTGGTTATTGTAAATAGAGCTGCAGTGAACATTGTGGTACATGACTCTTTTCGAATTATGGTTTTCTCAGGGTATATGCCCAGTAGTGGGATTGCTGGGTCGTATGGTAGTTCTATTTTTAGTGTTTTAAGGAACCTCCATACTGTTCTCTATAGTGGCTGTATCAATTTACATTCCCACCAGATATAAGTTCTTTTAAGACAAATGTTGCCATAAGGTCATATCTAAAATATAAGGGCAATTTTGTACAAACTAATAGAAATAGATTAAGGTACTGTATTATTCTATTTAAATATATTAACTCTATAGTGCTAGAATTTGTATATACCATATGCTATGGAATTGAAATTTTTATAATAGACTCAAAGCTAGAAGAAGCTTAAAGCTCATATAGCTCAAATTCTCTATTTTAAAGATAAAGAGGGACTTCCCTGGTGGCTCAGTGGTTAAGAGTCCACCTGCCAATGCAGGGGACACGGGTTTGATCTCTGCTCTGGGAAGATCCCACATACCTAGGAGCAACTAAGCCCGTGCGCCACAACTACTGAGCCTGCGCTCTAGAGCCCGTGAGCCACAACTACTGAACCTGCATGCCACAACTACTGAAGCCTGCGCACCTAGAGCCTGTCTCCGCAACAAGAGAAGCCACTGCAACAAGAAGCCCATGCACCGCAACGTAGAGTAGCCCCTGCTTGCCGCAACTGGAGAAAGCCCGCGCGCAGCAAAGAAGACCCAATGCAACCAAACATAAATAATAAATAAATAAATAAATTTATATTAAAAAAAAGATTATAACTGTAGGGACTTCCCTCGCGGTCCAGTGGTTAAGACTCCGCGCTTCCAATGCAGGGGGTGCAGGTTTGGTCCCTGGCTGGGGAACTAGGATCCCACATGCCGGAGGTGCAGCCAAAAAATAAAAATAAATAAATAAAACAAAATAATCTTTTTAAAAAAGAGTATAACTGTAAACACAACACACAAGGTCCCTAGCCTCAAAAAAGAGGGAAAAGATGTACAGGCGAATAATTGTAGACAAATAACTGCAATGCAGTATGACAAATGCTGTAAGAGATGAAAGCAGAAGCAGCAATAGCATGAAACCGCAGTGAAAGAGCTCAGCTAGCTGGCTCAAGGTAACTGCCACGATTGAAAAGACGCGACCTGAGCTTTGAAGGAAAGTAGGAGTTTGTCAGATAAACAAGGGGAGGGAAAATTGCACTGGAGGCAGAAGGCAGAGAGGGTGCAAAAGCATGAAACTCGTGTGACTAGGAAAACTCAACGTATTTTGATGTGGCCTGACACAGAGAATAAGGGTGTAGGGACCTGGAAGAAGTTATGATTTGCAGAAAGCAAATCTCAAGACATTTGCACAAACTACAAATCTCCGTAGCAGCAAAATTGGGGAGACTTTGTATATATGTTCTTAGTTTGGATATAAATGATCGTCTCTTAGAAAGAAAACAA